CCCCACACACCCACACCCACCCACCCACCACCGCCACATTCCAGTAAGGAAGATGTACGAGTTTGAATTATTGATTCAGACACATGCTACATGCTGCTTGGAGTCATTATTTGTTCAGGTGAGTGTCATGCTGCTCGCTATGAAACAGATACCACAGGGATTAAGCGACACAATCAGGACTTAAAGACAGCCGCCGTCCCTAAAATAACGTGGCCCTTGCTGCAAGACGAATGATCCCCCAAACTCGACTTCGTTTGTTTATGACTCGCACATTAGTCATTCTGTGCTTAAATTATAGCATGGAGGTAAAGATTAATTCAAGCATGGGCTTTTTCTATTGTTTTTACTTCTGTGTGTCTCTTGAAGCCTAATAACACAGCAGATAAATATAGGTGCAAACATCCTACACATTGATTTAAAAAAACAAATCCCACATAGCTTTTGTTGAGTCGTAGGCGTCGGCATGAAGAATAGACAGATGTCCATGTAAAGAAAGAACAGCGTGCATATTCACATCTTTGCTCTGATTCTCAAATGAGACTTTTGGCACAGTACAACAAAACAACTCAAACCACACGTGATAAATCATGCTTTTGCATTTATTGGATTGATACTTATTATACAAAGCAGAGCAAGTGCTGATGTTGATGATGTGAGCAGAAATAGAAAGGACGTGTTTGTAGAGAAGGTGAGATGGAGGGAAGCTCTGATACAGGAGCCTTAAGAGAGAAGCAGGAGGTAAACTGTTGCTAAACGTTCATTTAGCCCCGGCTAAGTGGTCAGGGAGGCTGGACAGGTGAACTCTATTCTCCCCACTGGCCCTGCGGGGTGTGTGTGTGTGTGTGTGTGTGTGTGTGTCTGTGTCTGTGTGGACTGTAACAGAATTTCTCTAGTCCTCTGGGCCCCGGTGCAAAGCAGAGAATAAATGGTGGAGGTGGCAGTCCAGGACAGAAAAATCAATGCCTGCTTATACAGACATGACACACCAGCAGCCAGCTGCATTCTGTGTGTGTTGTGTGGGTGTGGATGTACACCTCGCAATCATATGGCCGCATGCTCTGTGGGCGTGAGTGCTAGTACCCGGCAACCTCCATTTCCTTCCTCACTGGGTAGATTTTCTAGCATTTTACGTCAGCTTTGGGATCAGTAAATAACTATACCTACTTTTTTTTTTCTTCCTCATTCCCCTTTCCCTCTCTTCTTCTCTTGCAGGAAGTTTGAATGCGAGCTGTGTGAACGCTCCTTCAGTGAAAAATGGGCCCTGAACAACCACATGAAACTGCACAGTGGGGAGAAACCATATAAGTGTGCATGGCCATCTTGCCACTATGCCTTCCTCAACCTGTCAGCCATGAAGGACCACTACAGGACACACACTGGTGAGACACCAAGAGCTAGCAACCTCCTCTGTGACCCATTACTGCTCTACGCCTACATAAACACATTGACTGACACTCTAAACTGCAAAATTCATGAGATTTGCTTTTTACAGGCCATCAGTGTTTTCATGAGTTTGGGACAAAGGGGTATTTATCAAGAAACACTATACTTGGATCAGACAAGTTATTCATTCCTCTGTAGCTGTGGACTATTTAGCAAAATGAAGTTTATGTGTTAGCTGTGAAAATCTCACATTAATTATGAATCTCCACAGCTTTGTTTGGAATAAATATACACACATTTTTGGCTGATAATAACCATGACTTGTCCATCTGTACCGATTTTCAACATCCAGAGAAAGTCGAGAACTAGTTTTTGGCAGTCTTGCAGGCACTGTTAAATGGTAATATCCTTATGTCCAGATCCTGATAGCACCGTCAGTATTAAATGATATTACATCAGCCAGATATATTTGAATAGAGACAATTAATTGCCAAAGGGAGAAAGAAAATGGAGCAGAAAGATGTTTGAATTTCATATTTGATGTTTTTGTTTCCTTGTTTTTGTTTTCTTTCTGGTTGTCATGTGTAATTCCCCCAAATCCATCTGGTCATTAATTAACTACGTGCTCCTCAAACCCAGCTGGTCAGCAAGTGTGTATTCATCAAATCCATCTGATTCTGAAGATTTTTTTTTCCCACATTGAACCTGTCTAGTGTGCGTTCAATTTGATGCAAAATGGACAAAATGGGAAAGATTCACATTTATTTTAGTGTGTGGTGTCTTCATGCCACGTGTCTCACGTCCATTAGAAAACCAGTCAACTCCCAAATATTCAAAAAGTGATGTTTTAGTGATTTAGAGTTGTTAACTGTTTATATTAATGCTAGTTACAAAATGGAATGGGAAGTGAGGTTGTCTTATCTAAATTTAGCTTTACATTGTCGATGTGGACGTCTCCCTCCGTCTGTACTTTACTTGTTTACCCACTGTCTTACTTTGTCATGGTTCTGATACAAAAAAATATGGATTAGAACAGAAACATGATGAAACCAAAAACATGAAAAGTAGTATTACAAAACTCCGTGGGCATTTTTGTTCTGCATTTTCTACATATACCTTTGAATGTGTGCCTGTGACTTTTCTTTCAGAATCCTTCCTTTTCATTTCTGTACGTACAGTACAGTACACTGTGGGACTGTTCTGACTCGTATTTTTTGCACTTTCTAAAAACTTTGGATAGACAGATGGTGCAGTGGGTAGTGGGAGGATACTGTCTTGAATAATAGCCCCTCAGTGGGTGCCCAAGTCAGTCTCTTTGAAAGTGTCTTTATGCTGCAGCCCAGCAGTTTCCCCTCGGCCTCAGTAATGTCCCACACACGGCTCCTTGATGCCCTTTTAAGTCAATGACAGAAGCAGCAGCAGCCAGTGGCCTGACAGCCTGACTGAGCGCTTGCAGGAGAGCCCTCCATCCGTCACGGGTGCCTGCTATGTGTGTGTGTGTGTGTGTGTGTGTGTGTGTGTGTATGAGTGTGTGTGTAACTGTAAGTCTTGCTGGATGTTATTTTAAATGTGTTTTAACAGTGATGTAACGTCAAGGCGCCTCTGACATAATTAGACATTTTATTTTCATTTGTTTCCAGCCCTCATCATTCCCCATCAGGCAGCTGGCGTCACGCTGTCACCTAGCTGTCACCTGGAGAGGCGTGGGGTGGTGTGGTGGTGGTGTGTGTGTGTGTGTGTGTGTGTGTGTGTGTGTTTGTCATTGTGAGTTTAGCAGGAGGAAACACAGACCTGAAGAAAGTGAGTGAAGTGATTGAGATGGAAAAAAGAAAGTGATTGAATAAGAGTGCTTCAAAGATCAAGGGTGACCAAGTGCATATGAAAATGGAAGAATTAAGGTTCAGCCTAAAACAACCTCACTTTAGTGAGCATCAAGACCTAACTTGATTAGTGAGACCCAAAAAAGCTAACGCAATTTGCTCTTCTGTGACCTCCGACACTCCTTTGCCAGTTGTAATTGGTGCAGGGTTGGATGGTTAGCTACAGCTATACAATCATTACAATTACATTCCAGCAGCCTGCCTGACACACTGAAATATTATCTGTATGTGTGTGATCTGTTTAAAGGTTATAAATTGGTTCCTTTACAGTGCTAAGATGCAATACTAACAAAATAAGTAGGAGATTTAAAAGTTGAACTAATCTGTCCTGGGAACCTAGCAGTCAGTAATGGAGGGGGTGCGAGTTCCAGTGCTTGTGTGTGTGTGTGTGTGTGTGTGTGTGTGGGTGGGTGGGTTATGTAGAGGCTCACAGGACAATGAGTAACTGAGTGGTTTGTGGTGGAACTGAGTGTAATGATACACACATCTAGCTTATTGCTTGAACTGTAAAACTCTAAGTACTATATTCCTTCACCGAGAACTTCATCACAGTGGCAAGTTTTGACTGACTTGTTTTTTATCAAGTGTGTATAATTGGTTTATAATCCCTTAAAATAACCTTTCTAATCCCTTACAACAGCATTAGATGTCACAATCTTGTGCTGAAGCACCACGAAACCGATTGTGCAAAGGATGAGCACTGAGACAACATAATGTACGAATAATTTAGGAAAGAGCAGTCATATATAAGGCCACAGATGCAATTTATATATCTTAAACAATGCACCTAAATACAAGTGCAACATTTTGATCCAACTTTGAACGACAGTTTGTACTGTTGACCATTCATTAACCTCATCTCTTAGCAGTGATTGAGCAGCCATAGGTAGCGAAATCATCACTTTGGTTTTTAGCCTTTCTAACTGGTCTGCTACCCATAGTAGGAATCTAACTCTGTGTTTCCTCCATGACTAGGAGGAATTCCACACAGTCTTGTGGGATTACATTTTAAAAAACAAAACAAGACAAACAAACAATCAAACAAAAAACTTTATGATAGTACATCTATCATATATTATTTCCTCCCACTGAGGAAGCTGGTCTTCAGTGCAGGCTGTTACTGGCAGGTTCTGTCCTGCCACTTCTGCCAGATTATTTTGTCAGAATAGTGTGTTGGGTGGTCTGGGAGGGTCTGTATCTGACCATTTCTTTAACTTTCTGAAACAAACGATGTGACATTCACACCCACTTCACGCCATAATTGGCCATCTCTGCCGAGATGCGAGAAGAGCCAAGCATTGTGCTTCTCTCGTTTCATCTGTTACTTATTGTGGCACTTTTCATGTGCCACAAACTTTTCATGACCCCCCCACTCCCACCCCTTCTCAGTGACAGCTGTCATTTCACTGAGCCTTCAAGTGTGACCATGTGGATCACATTTAATTTTAATACCCAGCAAGGTTGTACAACATTTCTTATAAACCACTTTTGACAGACACATAAAAATGGCCCTCAGTCTCATGTGATGTTCAAAGTGAAACATGCTATGTAAAAATTACAGCTTAAATCTAACCTTGTGTGGTGTTTCCATAACACAATAACTGCCAACTAACAGAAACACCTCTCTGTATAATGCTGTACAGTTTAACAGCGGCACAAACTACAGCCTCTAAAATGATCGTGCAGTTGAATAAACACCTCCAACAACACCTAAAACAGTTTGAACAAACACTGAACATTATTACCTTCATGAGTGAGGATTTATTGCACAACTGTTGTGTTAGACTGTATTAGGTTTAGCTTAGTGTACCCAATAAGGTGATAACTGAGTGTCTGTGTAAGATCCTTTTGCAGAATTATTTTGAATCATGACACTAATGTTAGCCTAATTAGCTGGTTACATCCAGCTGTTGAAATTCGTTAGCGACAGTTGTCAGTTTAGCTATATTTCATGTGGTTTACTTGTGTGGCAACCATTTTCAAAGTAGTCTACGATGTGAGAAAGGAAAGCCTGACATGCACAGCAACAGTTACTAATGGGGTCAGGGTTTGGTGAATGATCAGGTCAGCAAACTTTAAGGGAATAAAAATACATGTTTTGCTTTGCTCCTATAACTACACTCTAGCCAAACGAACAGCCAGGGCCAAGGCGTCCCCAACAGAAACTGTCTAATTTCATCATCCTGTGGACAGACTTGCTGGGTGTGACATGAAGAAAAAAAAGTTAACACCTCAAGCTTTCCTTCTCCTGCCTTGGGATTCATTGTTCCTCTCTGATTTGTGTGTTTTTTATGTTAATCACTCCCTCCTCACACACCAGTCGTGTCTGAGGGAGGAGGAGGAGGGCGGGGGCGGCGGATTCAGTGGTCGTCAGTCGCCAGGGTCATTTGTAACGGCTGATGAATGAGCGGCTCAAATAAATAAATAAGTGCACTGCATCTGACCCACCCAGCTTTTCCCAGGCTCTTGGGCGGGTTTCAACACAGCGACAGGGCCACAATTGATTTCCTCATTGCTTCAGTTTGTCGCTTAATCTGGCGATATGCTGATAAATCTTCCCACTTTGTCAATTAATTTCCCTGAAAAATGAGACCCAAAATGGTGAGCACATCAATACAGCAGCGGATTCCGTGTCAAAAATTAAGCGGTAAAATTAATTGCCCTCCCATCCGCTCCTGCTAAAACATAACTAATGAGGGAGGCAATTATAGCTGCATGCAGACTCCACCGGGGTTATTTAAAACACACACACACACACACACACACCCATACATATATATATTCACACATATGCAAAGAGAGGTTGTATATTTTGACTTCAAAGTTATTTTATTGTCTTGCAATAAGGCATTTTTAATTCCAGTAAGGGGTGGAGGGTTGAGGTGCATCACGGGAACAAAGGAAAAGGATGAGCCAATATTCAAATAGCCAGAAAGAGTCAGGGCTCTCAGTATAGGCACATTAGCAGGAAATGTGTTTTTTAGAACATTGTTGTGACTGGTGATATCGCTTTATTTATGTTTGCAGCTTTGTGTGTCTGACCTTTATGTCTGCAAGGGAGAAGCTTTGGATGATGCTTGAGTTCAGAGTTTGGAGTCAGGATTGAGTTGAGCTTAGAGTAAGACTCGAGGTTGAGGCTGTAAAGGATGTGGTTTTAGGGTTACTGTTATGTTGGAATAAAGTTTAGGGTAAGGGTTAAGTGTTATTTGTGCACCGATAAAAGGAATGAATATAGTCAATGAAAGGTTGTGTTGTGGGTGAGTGGGGTCTGCGCTGCCTCAGCCAACCAGATCACCCAGTGATGACAGCAGCACGTCACTCTTGTGCTTACCCCCACCTCGCCATCCCCAGCCAGGTCCTCAGAGGGCTCACCGCTACAGAAGAGCAGATGAAAAGCACATATGTAATTTATCGCTAACGTTTCCTCCTCAAGAATAATTGTGGCGACCGCGGCTGGGCACAGGGATCGATGGTTATGGATTTTTCTGTGGTGGGGTTTTGTAGTGTTGGGCGTAATGAGAGATAGGAATGAGGGAGGAGAGGAGGAGAGGCATGGAGGAAGGACTGGCACTGTTTTTCTAATAGGGAGGAAAGGTCTGAGCAGACACTTAGTAACTATTCTAGACTGTATTAGTTTATTTATTTATTTGAAATAGAGGCCATATAAAACATCTCTGGCCCTGTGAGCATAAAGGTCCCACGTCAACTAAATGTTCTGATGAAGAAGAAGCTTTTATTTTATTGTGATGTACAATGAAAATTTGTTTGTAGCTGAGGGGCCCCCGGGCCGCTGCGTGTTTCCTTGGGGGGTTCAGTGTCTTGCCCACGGACACTTCGACATGTGTACTGCAGGCACTGAGATTCAAACTGTCAACCTTCTGGGTGGGAGATGACTGCTCGACCCACCGCACGTGTTTTGATTATTTCACATGAGAGAGTTCTGTATTTTCGCATTTTTGTCTAAACTTTTTTTTTTACTAGTTTGAGCTCAGGTTGAAAAATGTAACGCCAAGCACTTGTGTGCACCATTCAGGATTTAGGAAAAGCACAGGGTCACTAACACTCTGTGCACAGGATGTTGATAGACTGTCAGTGGATGCTTGCAGGATTGTTTACTTATATTGCCAGGCCACTGACAGTCACATATGATTAAACCAAGCCTGCACAGTCTTGATGACTGTTAAACAAGAAAAATAATACCTAAGGATGGGTTTTTTTTTTTCTTTTTGACTCACTAGTATTTAATGTTGTTGAGAAATACTTGAGATTTAAAACTTTTTTTGGCATTTTAAATATTTTGGATACATTATTGTTGCAAAGTGAAGTTTATAGTACTCCATTTTGTTTTCTAAATAAAATACAGAGCTGATGCTCCCAGACTATAACATATCCTGTGTTTTTTAGAGGGGGATCAAACATTAGGAATTTAGAACATTAAATGTAAAGAGGTGATTTCATACAGCTACAAAAAGAAGCAAAAATGATATTTATTTTATTTGAACATTGTTCCTCCAAAAGACATTCACTGTGCGGCCTGAAAGTGAACCTGTACGAATCAGCCAACAAATGCACCTTTTTAAGGCTGTTTTTCTCCCCTGTAAGTGGCACTGCATTAAAGCTCTCCTCACAGTCGAGTGACTTTAAATGGGTGTAATAGAGGAAACTCGAGGCTGCTTTGTCTCTGCGGACTCGGTGAAAGCTGCTATCTGTGCAGAAGAGGAGCGGAGCACTGCTGAGGCCCAGATGGAAGAGTCACCCAAATGTGTTATCAGTGCGTCGCGAGAGCCGGAGTTCAACATCAGCATTTAGATGAATATTTAAGTGATGGGGATCTTAGCTCCACCTAATGTACAAACATATGTTAGAATGTGTGGCACCTATAGTGTTTTCATACATGCACATGGAGCACACCGCATGCAGTTTGCTTTATGTGTCTGTGTGTGGGGATATCTGAACCTTTGTATTTGTGTGTGGATTTTCATGCACGTGTCCTTTCGATAAATGTGTTTGTGTGTACACGTGCATGTGTTTTCCTGAGTGAGTCACAAATGTTGCTGCCTGTGTGTGCAGGAGTGTCTTACTGCCTGTGTGGCAGAGAGAGAGAGAGAGAGAGAGAGAGAGACCATCATGATGTTAATGACAGAGCCAGAT